CACACACACACACACACACACACACACACACACACACACAAAATCAGTTTTATGTATTTCTTTCTAGTATCTCTGCATGTCTCTCTCCCTAATCGTTTAATGTACTTTCTGCATGTCTGATCACCTTTAAGTGGTGCCAAATAGTCGGTCACTCCTTGTTTGGCGTGCCTCCAGCACTATAAGCAGGGCCACTCAGTTCAGGATGTCTTTGTTTCCTACGGGTGATGACGGGCGTTTGTCAGAGTCTCCCTGGCTCAGCAGGTGGTGGGAACCAACAGTCCGTGGGGTTCACTTGTGGTGTGACTAGGGAATGTACTGCTTTGCTTTGTGTTGAATGTGTGTTCTACCTTGTCTATGCTCCACGGCCGCCTTGCTGCCCATCACACTTGCCCCCCCGGTTGTTCTTAGCAGCCAATGTTTTGCCCTGTAGTTTGGCTGTTCCTTTACTGTTTGTACTGCTGCTTGTTCAATCCTTTTCCATCTCTTCCCAATCTTTCTGCCTCTTGACTTTTCGACACTCGATCGACGATCGTATCTTGTCCAGTGTGCCTGGGCACAATCCCCTTTTGCCATTCTCATCAAATGTGGCTGTAGAGTTCATTCACAGCAAGGGATGTGTGGTGGATGTCGCCTTGTGAGCTACAAATACATCATGTACAGGGGAGCCCTGACCCTCCCTTCCTCTGTGTGAGTGACTTTGTGAACACCACAGCATTTGTGGGCAGGAACATGTCATATCCATATCTGTATCACCTATCCTATCGTATCCTATTTTACCCTACCATACCCTACCCTACCCTACCCTACCCTACCCAACCCTTCCCTATCGTATGTTATCCTGTCCTACCTTAATTTACACTACACTACCTATACTACCTACACTACCTACACTACCTACCCTACCTACCCTACCTACCCTACCCTACCCTACCTTACCCGACCCTACCCTACCCCTAACCTGCCCTACCCTATCCCTATGTTGTCGCGCGTGCACGCACGGGGCCTTTCCGTACATAACGTACGCATATTTTACATACGTAACCCCATACATGGCCACATACCTTCTGCACGTAAAACATACGAGAAGAAAAAAGATAAATCAAAAACATCTGGAAAAAACACATGTTATGTAACATAAGCAGACAAGTAATATTTGTCTGACCACCCCAAATTCTTACTAAAATGCACGAAAACAATAGAAACAGAAAAAGGGTAATTTAGAAAAAGAAAAAATTCACTGCAACCGCAATATGCCTGTGTCACTCTGTGTGTGTGTGTGTGTTTGTGTGTGTGTGTGTTTGTGTGCGTGTGTTTGTGTGTGTCACAGTGTGTGTGATTGAAAGGAACACAGACACTAACGCAAATGACACAAACAGAACACACATGCACCCACACATGATTTTTATGCTTTTCTTTTCTTTAATCATCCAGGGGCTATATCCACTCGATAAATAGATTGGATATAAATGGTGGGCAGGGGTGTTCTAAGCCACACACCATGCATACATGAGATCAGCCTCGGAACTCCATTTCTTTGGCTGATTGCAGGTATACAGGGTGCATGGACACTAACCAACACCCTGACACCAAACAAAAATAAAAAAATAAAACCTGTACGGGGCTTCGTACGAGTATGAATTCATACGGCCGTACGTCTACGCAGTGCCGTACAGATCGGTATGCAGCCCCGGCCTACCCTATTTTATCCTGCCCTACCTTATTTAAGTTGTTTTACACTACATTACCTACCTTGCCCTACCCCACCCTACCCTACCCTACCCTACCCTACCCTACCCGACCCGACCCACACTACTCTACCCTACCCTAGCCTACCCCATGTTATCCTGTCCTACCTTATTTACCTTCTTTTACACAATACTACCTACCCTACCCTTCCCAACCTCTCCCATCTTACCCTACCCTACCCTGCCCTACCCAACACTCCCCTATCCTATGTTATCCTGTCCTGCCTTATTTTACACTACGCTACCTAACCTACCCGACCCACGCTACCCTACCCTACCGTACCCTACCCTACCCTACCCTACCCTAGCCTACCCTACCCTATCCTACCCTACCGTACCCTACCCTACCCTACCCTATCCTACCCTACCGTACCCTACCCTATCCTATCCTACCCTACCCTACCCTACCCTATCCTATCCTACTCTATTCTATCCTCTGCTATCCCATATGAATGATATGATATAATATCATATATCACAGGTCATTCTTAGTCCCAAATCACAATCTCAGGATACACAAGTATATGGGTGTCGCTCCACTACACAACATCCGACGTGTATCTGGACTGATCTTTGGATTGGACAAATTCGGATCGATCAAAGATTCTGAAATTCTGAATGTATTGGGACCCTAAGCATTGTGTTTGCTCCTAATTGGTGCACTATCGGCTTTGGCATTCTGCTCTCAACTCGGCTAAATCGTGCTTCTATGAGCTTTTGAATTTTGGAAAGTCGATTGAGCCGAGTTGACGGCAGAATGCCAAAGCCGATAGCACCATACAACCAGAACAACAGCTTTGGCATTCTGCTGCCAACTCGGCTCAATCGACTTTCCAAATATTGGTGCTTCTATGAGCTTTTGAATTTTGGAAAATTGTTCTGATTGTATGGTTCCTTGCACCTGTTTGTTATTCTCACTTTTCAGCCTTTCCCTTTTCCTGTTCTGACTATCCTTCCACTCTTGTTTTTTGGTTGCTCTGTGTTCCAATGTCTTTTTTCCTTTTTGGCTTCTTCCATTGAACCAGACGTTGCCGATCGAAAGAGGCATCCACACGTTCTGCCGATTCTGCGCTTTCTTCAACAAGGATCGACTATGTCTCCCAGGGAGCTCCAGACTCTGGAACACCGCTTCGGACTCGTACCAAAAGTCAAACGCCGTAACTCCCTCAGAGGCACACTTACTGTTACTTGACTCTCTCTCTCTCTCTCTCTCACACACACACACACACACACACACACACACACACACACACACACACACACACACACACACACACACAAGCACAAGCATAGTTTCTAAGTTTATATACGTTCTCTGTGTTCTCCACTGTGTTGTTAAGTTTCCCTCCCAACATTTCCCCTTGATCTCCAGTGCAATCAGAGCACCTTAGAGATGTGCCAAACAGTCAGCTGCTGGTTGTGACAAGTACCTGCAATGCTGTAGGGGGGGGTGGGGGGGAGGAGACTGTAGCAGTCAGGATGCCTGAGTGCGTGTGTTTCTATGTATTCGCTGGTAGCGAGTCCCTGGCTCTTGATGGTGGTGTGAACCTACAGTCTGCAGGGTTTACTTGCTTGTAGGCCGAGTAAGTGATAGTGCACTTCATTCTTTGCTGTGAGAGTGAGTTGCTGCCTTGCTGCTTGCTTGGGTTGCTTGCCTTGCATTGCCTATTGCCTGACTTATGTATGCTCTTGCTGCTTATCTACCTTCCGCGCACTTGCCTTGCGGCTATCTGCCTGCCACACACTTGCCTTGTCACACACTTGCCTTTTCACGCACTTGCTTTGCTGCTTGTCTGCCTGCCTCACACTTGCCTTATCTGCATGCCTCACACTTGCCTTGCGGCTATCTGCCTGCCACACACTTGCCTTGCTGCTTATCTGCCGGCGCACACTTTCCTTGCTGTCCTGCTACCTGCCTGCCACACACTTGCATTGCCTGATACGTACTTGCCTTGTACCTGCACCCTTCTGTCGGTCGTCCTGTTGCTTGGATGCTTCACTTGGTGGTTAAAGCTCAGTGAACCCTTTTTCTTTCCCTTTTTCTTTTTAACAAGTCGGACCCTCCGCAGCGAACCTGCGCCGAAGAAGACGCCCGCTGCGCAGAGCGGGAAAAGGTTTCAGTGTGAGAGCGCTCAGTTGATACACCAATCAGATGGAATTGGTTATGAATGGACAAATTATGTGGGGACAGCCCGTCCCACGATGGTGAGCGAAGGCTGAACGACGGTCTCTCTCTCTCTCTCTCTCTCTCTCTCTCTCTCTCTCTCTCTCTCTCTCTCTCTCTCTCTCTCTCTCTCTC